GGTCACTTATCCAATCAAGAGGTTGTGATTCGGCTGGTCACTTATCCAATCAAGAGGTTGTGATTAAGGCGGTCACTTATGCACTCAAGAGGTTGTGATTCATGCGGTCACTTATCCAATCAAGAGGTTAGTGATTCAGGCGGACACTTATCCAATCAAGAGGTTGAGATTTGGCCAGTCACTTGTCCAATCGAGACGATAGTGATTCAGGCGGTCACTTATCCAATCAAGAGGTTGTGATTCAGGCGGTCACTGAACCGGTCAAGTAGTTAGTGACTGTCCAGGTGTGTCGTTCGCTAGCCCAGCTGTGCAGTCGGTGTGTCATTTTCTTGCCCAGCCAGCTGGTCAGTGTGTTGTCAGTGTGTTGTGCTTGCCGGTCAGCCTGTGTGTGGTGCAGCACTGCCCAGTGCTCCAAAGGGACACTCACTTGACCAGCTCCTCCCAGCCGGACAGGTAGTGCTCCAGCAGCACGTCTTGGTCCTCGGTCACAGCGTCAGTGAACTCCCTCACCACCCGGCTCATCTGGAACCTCTGATCTGGACACTGAGGAATGGGCTGTGAGCTACCAACACTGGACACTGGACTGCCAGCCTGGACACAGCCGGAGAACAAGAATAATGCAATGTGCAGTCTTAATGGACTGTAGTGTCCAGTGTTTCTGTATTAACCCTTCTCTCTCAGTGCAGTGTTAATGTACTGTAGTGTCCAGTGTGTCTGTATTAACCCCTCTCTCTCTCAGTGCAGTGTTAATGTACTGTAGTGTCCAGTGTGTCTGTATTACCACCTCTCTCTCACCTCAGGATTGAGGCTCCCATCAACAGCAGTGTTGTAAAGGCTCATACAGGGCCAGAATGCAGAGCAGTCCTGCAGCCTCGTCTCTGCTGTCGAAAGAAAGAACCAGCGTTGATTTAACATGATCACACTCTCATCCCTGAATCCTCAGGCCTGAGTGACCCTGTGCCAGAATCCCCATTTCCTTTATTTACACAAGATTTCTTCTTGTTGGCCATTTTCAGTAATCCTCTTTGTCTCATACAACAACTCTACACTAAACACTGAGAGGTACCGGGAGCCGGTCCTGACTCCCGTGAAGCGTAGTTTAGGACCCTCTGCAGACGGTATAATCCGGAAGTGACTGGAGAAGGGCAACGGAGAAAACACGGAGGGGAATGGAAGGGATGGCGAACAGGGGGCGGTGCCGACAGTGATCCAGGTGCAAGGGGGGGGGCCCAGAACAGTCCAAAACAGGACATCCGGGCGCAATCCAAAATCCAAAACGAGGTGACCCATCCACGAACAGGATCAGGGACAAGGAAATTTAAAAAAACGGAGTGACGGGGCCAGGCGCTCCGAGCCCCGGACCCAGCTGGTCGGGACGCTGTTCGGAAGCCTCTGCCTTCAAGCCACAGACGGAGGGCGGTTGGTTGGTAGGCGGGCATCCTTGCCTCCGGACCTCCATGTTCCAAGCGGAGCCCTGGGCTTCAGAGGCACAAGGTTTAGATAACACCAGTGAATCCAGGGACAGGCGTACGTGATAATGAAACTAACACACAAAAGGGTCGGAGCGCCCTCCAGAGGAGGGATGACGACTGGGACATGAGATCGGAGTCTCATCCATTAGCGGAACCCCCCCATCACTTCCTCGTACCCAGATGGACACTATACCTGCACACCGTCACTGCTGGACCAAGACACTCGAAGATGATGCAGTCAAGCACTTCTCTCGTCCTAAATAATATTAACCTGATCATTTGTAATGTTTTAAAAGGAAAACCACATAACTCCATAATATTTTAGTTCAGTGTAATTATAAGTGTCAATCGCACTGTACTGTATGTCCATATATACTGTACAGCACCCTGTTTAAGATCAGAGCACATCCCTCCTGTATATGACAGCGCCCAGGACACCCCTACAGACTCATTCTCTGACATCCTTCATCCCACATCATCCGGCCCTGCACACACCTCTCTAATGATGCTTTCTTTCCCAATTTAGCAGTTCCAGTATGACGCCCCTCTGCTGTCACACAAGTGTTAACATTCTCTCACCTTGTAAGGACATTTATTCTGCAGGTATAAACTGTCCTGCTGCTAAGCATTGAAACTCTGTCTCTTTAGTGATGCAGATTGGAGGTTGAACACCTTACCTGTCACGGACGTCCAAAGGGACTAACCGTGGGGAGCAGGAGAGAAGAAAAAGACCCATATGCGTAGCGGCGAGACGGGAAAAAGGCCCGGGCTCATTAGTGCAAAGAGTTCAGGAATGCCGTATAGAAACCTATGCCCTCAGGGAGC